TTACACTCACTTGGCAGGACAGTAGTACCTCCCTGGGCAGCTGCTGTCTACCAACCTACTACCTAGGTCAAACTGAAATATTTACTCTTAAACTGGTAGAAATTATATTTTTCTTATTTCTTTAGACTGCATTTGTCATTGCACTACGTACAAGGAAATGTGATGATATTACAATTGTTTCAATATCTGATACTCTTCAAGTCATGGAAATAAGTCATACCGGCTTTATATTGTCCTAAGTTAAAAATCTACATACTGAGGTGTGCTTTGACTGAATTTCATTGTTAGTATCATGAATAAGACATCATCCTTCCAGTTCTACAAACTATTTACTTGCAGGGAAGCCAGTGGTGGCAAGACAAGCAAGTCCTGGTTGCATTATTTACAGGTACATCTGAGGCAGTGTGCCCCATGACACGTGTTGATCCATTTTTTTTTTTCCAGGCATGAGGTGATGTGAGGCAATCTGCACCCCAGACAACTGAGCCAAGATTTAAAATGGCAGCACATGGAAAATCTGAAGGCACAAAAAAAAAAAAAAAAAAAATGGTAAAGAGCATATATGAGCCAGCCAGGTTCCCTAGTATCTGGCATATGTCAGACATAGCTTAAGGGATAACAGCCCCTCCTCAGCACTAAGGCACATCTCCATCAAAGTGTTAAATTTATGCCTCTTATACTTGTAAGAAATCTAGTCCTGTACCATTCATAATCAGAAAAAGAAGAATAATTTTGCTACGTATGCATTTTTTTTTAACACATCGGCAGTTTCCCACTGAGGCAGGGTGACCCAAAAAGAAAAAAACTTTCATCATTAAACACTTTCACCATCAGTCATACATAATCACTGTCTTTGCAGAGGTGCTCAGATATGACAGCTTAGACATCCCTACAAACTGCCAACATCACAGGCCCCTCCTTTAAAGTGCAGGCATTGTACTTCACCATTTCCAGGACTCTAAGTCCGGTTAACTGGTTTCCATGAATCCCTTCCCAAAATATTACCCTGCTCACACTCCAACAGCTCATCAGGTTCCAAAAACCATTTGTCTCCATTCCCTCCTAACACACTCACACACACTTGCTGGAAGTCCAAGCCCCTCACCCACAAATCTTCCTTTACCCCCTCCCTCCTACTTTTTTGGGAACGACCCCTACCGTGCCTTCCTTCCCTACAGATTTATAAGCTCTCCAAGTCATTCTACTTTGATCCATTCTCTCTAAATGACCAAACCACCTCAACAACCCCTCTTCAGTCCTCTGGCTAATACTTTTAGTAACTCCACACCCCTCCTAGCTCCCACACTACGAATTCTCTGCATAATATTTACACCACACATTACCCTTAGACATGACATCTCCACTGCCTCCAGCTGCCTCCTGGCTGCAGCATTTACAACCCATGCTTCACACCCATACAAGGGTGTTGGTACCAGTATACTCTCATACAATTCCTTCTTTGCCTCCACTGATAACATTCTTTGTTTTCAGATACCTCAACGCACCACTCACCTTTTTTCCTTCATCAATTCTATGGTTAACCTCGTTCTTCATGAACCCACTATGAGGGAAAAGTTCAACAGATAGGGGTAGCGAGTGAGTATATGGTGACAATAGTTTGATTGCTAAGGTAGGGTCAGTCTAGCTCCCACTTTTCCCCCCCCTCCCCCTTGTCTCCACCCGGAAAGGTGACGTGTGGGGCTCCGACCAAATGGTAATCACTTGACTCACAGCTCCCAACACAACTAAGTAAAAGCCTCTGCTCCTGTTTTTAATGACATGTTGGTTAAAACCTTCACTTTTAACCAATTCTAAGAATGTAGTTCATTCTGCCTTGATTTCCAGGTTTTGCATTTCAATCTTCACCAGTCTTTTAACCCTTTGAGGGTCGACAAGCCCTCTCCAGGACTCGTTCTCAGGGTCAGCCAAATTTAAAAAAAAAAAAATTCTTATGAAAAGATAGAGAATCTTTTCCCAATCATAATGACACCAAAAGTATGAAATTTGATGGAAAACTTACGGAATTATGCTCTCACGAAGTTAGCGATCTCAGCGATGTTTACCCATCGGCGATTTTGCCCACTTTGATCCCCATTTTCGGCCAATTCCACTGTACTAGTCGACAAAAAACATGAATATTTCGCTAGAACTCCATTTTTGTCTATCGGATGAGTGCAAGAAACCACCCATTTACCAATTTCAACTATCCAGTACAGTGGTCAGAATTTAGCAATTATGCCAATTTCACACAAATTTCAAAAGATGCCAATATCCGAATAGGGTCCAGAATAAACAAGAGACATTACTGGCACTAAGATGACATTTCCTCTGTTCATCAGTCACGTCTCAAGGCCCCTCTTACATTCTTTTGTTTTCCACTTTGAATTTTTATTCTCACAAAAAATAGAAGATTTACTGTTATGCAGACTACTGCATTTGTGTAAAAAATGGTATAAATAACATTGGCGCACTTGCAAGAGAATATTAGACTCACAAGTTGACGTGTATTGGACGCTTGGCATGATTTGTTTACTTTTGAACTTTGGTAAAAATCGAACATTTCTGCTACTTTGAGCTCAATTTCAAGGTACTTTTCATTGTAAAACCAGTCAAAATCATCTCTATTTCTGTAGGATGTCTTCCATTCTATAAAATGAGACCAAGAAAACTAGAATACAACAATAAATAGCATATGAAAATACAGTGCAAAGTCGCTGTTTTATTCCCCAAAAAACGGACAAAGTTTTTTTTTTCTCATTATCCACTGTGTGCTGCAGGATTTTTTTTTATACTGTGCACACTGACCACACAGACCAATTCTTTCATATGTAGGCCTACCAGCTTTCTCCCACTAGATTTGAGGGTGCTAGAATTTGGGCGTACTAGTACGTCAAAAACTCTGGGTCGTAAGCCGTACTAGTACGGCCAAAACCCTCAAAGGGTTAAATGCCTTACTTATCATGGAGAGTGATTTCTTAAGCAGTGTGTAACTTTTGTCTCTTTCTAGCTTGGAATGTCAGCTTGGGTCATCTGGCAACCAAAGAAACAGTGTTGAAGGAGACGAACTTCACACGAGTTCTGGGACGTCACTTTTATCTACGTACCTGATAAGTGTAGCCAACCCCAGTCAACTGCCCCTCATCTTTGCAGTGGTGAAATACCTGTGTTCCTATCACCCTGACAGATTATTCAAGGCTGGAGACTGTGACAAACTAGTCGTTGGGTTGTCACTCAACAGCTGTAACCCCCCCCCCCCCATCAGCAACGGCTACAATTTCTACAAAGTGCGGTGTCAACATCAACCAAGACACCCCAGTCTAACTGTACATATTAGCATTGAATTCAGATGTCATTTTTATTTTTCATTTTTCTTTCAAGTAGGATAAAAGTTCATATTTAAATGTTTTATATTTTCAATTTTAACAATAAAATGTTTATCTTTGTATGTTGTTATTCTTTTTCTATTCATTAATTTTCCTAAGGAGAAGCCAGCCTTGATAAGACCTACTTAAGATCTTACAGGGCTGAGTAAGCCTTCACACCCATCTACTGACAAGTCAACTCCCAAATATCCAAAAACATTTTACTTCTTCCATACTCCCTCCCTCCGATGTGATATCCAATTTTCCTTTATCTAAATCGCTTGATACCCTCATCACCTTACTCTTACTATGTTTACTTTCTACCATTACACACCCTCCCAAACTCGTCCACTAACCTTTGAAACTTTTCTTTAGAATCCCCCAAAAGCACAGTATCATCAGCTAAAAGTAACTTTTGCATTTGATTCCCCATAATTTAATCCCACCCCTCTCCCCAACACCCTAGCATTCACATTTACAACCCATCTATAAATATGCTAAACAACCATGGTGACATCACGCATCCCTGTCTAAGACCTACTGTTACTGGAAAGTAATCTCCCTCTCTTCTACACACCCTAACTTGAGCCTCCTATCTTCATAAAAACTCTTTACAGCATTTAGTAACTTACTACCTATTCCATACACTTGCAGCATCTGCCACATTGCTTAACTATCCACTATCATATGTCTTTTCTAAATCTATAAATCCACTATGCAATTACCAACTCTCATTGGTGTGAAGCACATCGATTGTAAATGCTGCAAATGACTTGCGATGCAACTGAGTCCTGTCTAAGGGCATGTGTGGTGTATTATGCAAGAATTTGTAGGGAGTTAGAGAGTGTGGAGTTACTAAGTATTAGTGAGGGCATTGAGAGGTTTGAGATGGTTTGGTCATTTAAAGTATGGAACAAGAATGATGGAGAGCGTTATAAGGTGGTGGTCCTTCAAAAGGGTTAGGAGAGGTAAGAAGATTCAGGGGCGAGGGCTTGGTCCCAAGTTGACGCGAGTGGTAATAGGATGAATGGGAGGAATGGTTTTGCAACCTGACGACGTGGAATGTGTAGGAGGTAATATTGTGAAAGGTTAGGGAAACCGGTTGCCGGATAGTGCCGGAAATGGGAAAGTGAAATGCCTGCACTAAAGGAGGGTCCGGGTAATGGCAGTTGGAGGGACAATCAAAACTGTCCTGCCTGAAAGGAAGTAGTTATGTTTGAGGATGTGAAAGTGCTGAATGTGAAGTTTTTTCTTCTTTGGGTCACCCTGCCTCGGTGGGAACGGCAGACATGTTGAATAATATATACATTTTCCTTTTTAATTAATGTACAGTGCCTAATATAATCTTATCACACACTTCCTCTATACCCATGGCATAATACAAACAACCATATACATTACTGCATTTTCTGTTAGTCATTTTTATCATTCAAGTTTATAATTTGACCGAGTGAAAGCAGTGAAGAGAGCTTTCTTTATAAGTAGGAGTCTTCGTATTTAGTACTACTGAACAATTTAAAGCTCACTTTCATAAAACATGGAAAGGACAATATTGTGATAACTTAAGGTGCCAGGGAAAATATTTGACATTTTATATCTAAGATTCTAGGCTCTTATTAATTTATGGTATAGACTAGCCTTATCTTCTTTATGGGACTCTGTGTCTGCTTCTTCAGCAACAGATTCATCCGAATGGGAAGCTGATTCATCTTCATCTGTGTCTTGGTCAGCTTTCTCTTCGACGACCTCTACTTGCTCTGGCGCTGCTGCTGTAACCCACCTGTTGATGAAGCATCATTTCACTTCACTCAATGACTTTTATCCAACAAGGATAAATAATCAATGCAGAACAAAATAAAATCATTTTCATTTAGTTTGAGAGGCAAGAGTTGCAGACAACCATGGTTTATGGTGTAAACCTTTAATTATGGTGCACATTTCCCTCTAAACAGTTTTTTTTTTTTCAAAACAAATATACAAAACAGTTGGTGAATTAGATACATGTGCAACATGTGTGTATCTTTATTTTGAAGAGGTTTCATGAAATATATTCAAAATAAAGATATCCAGGTCTTGCATATGTCTAATTCGTCAAAGTACGCATCACCACGTGAACTGACATGTTTAGTCAACATGTCAAAAAGGCAGCAAATCTTTCATGCACGTACAATTCAAAGAACTATCCACAACAATAATAATACATGTACACAGAAACACTGATATCTTGTATCATGATGATGATGTGGTTTTGGTCTGTCATAAGCTCCTCTCTCCTTTGTGCGGTTATTTGTGTATTGTTCCAGTCACAGTACTGTGCCTTTTTGTTAGTGACATGAATGTCTACAATGTTTATTCTGGACCCTATTTTGAAATAGACAATTTTTTAATTGTGTGTGAAATTGGCCAAATTACCAATATCTGCTCACTTTATTGGGTAGCTGAATTAGGCAAACAGGCAGTTTCTTCTAATCAAATCAATCGATCGAGTAGAAGAAATACTAGCAAAATAGAATGAGTTTGGTTGACTGGAATAATGGAACTGGCCAAAAATAGGCCTCAAAGTGGGTGAAATCGCCAATGCGTAAGTATCGCCGAGACCGCAATTCTGTAAATTTTCCATCAAATTTCATACTTTTGGTTTCATTGCCTTCAGAAAAAGATTCTCTGACATTTCATAATTTTTTTTTTTTTAAATTCTCCAACCCTGAGAGCAAGTTTCATCGGAAATATGGTGCACACATTGTATTTCCCACCTCCAGGACTCAAGTCTGGCTAACCAGTTTCCCTGAATCTCTTCACAAAATATTACCCTGCTCACACCCCAACACACACACACTGTATACAAAAGAGATTTGAAATCTAGTCCTGGAAATAGAAAGTACAGTGCCTGCACCCCAAAGGAGGAGTAGGGATGTTGCAATTCGGTAGGTCATCTGAATTGAGATGTCAGCATACTTCTGGCAAGACACCAACTGAATGAATAATGGTGAATGTGTGTTTTCCTCTTTTTGGGGGGAGGTAGTCACCCTACCTCAGTGACAAACAGCCAATATGTTAAAAAAATAGATTTGCTGCCAATGATACTTCCAAAGATGCAAGAACTCACATTGTATGGTTCAGTCTATAGTAATAAGCAAAAGTTACATTAATATATGCAAATACAGACACTAAGCTAACTCACTTGAATCATAATTTGTGAATTATATAAAAGCAAAATTTTAATAATGTTAGTATTAAACTGCAGGATCAAAGCATAAGACACTGGAGGTAACTGAACTGATCCATATCTCTATTTACTGTACTCTGTTTATCTAAAAACTAAAAATCAAAATGAAACAGAACAAGTTGATCTTTCTTACTTTTCTCTTTCTTTTCATCCTCAAGTTCTTCCTTTTTACCTGTGGACTGCTGCTGCTTCTTCTTTGGTGGCTGAGCTTTGGACTTGGATTTTCCGCCTTTCTTAGGTTGTGGCTTCTTCCAACCAGACTTCTTGGCCTTTACAAAAGTTTAAATATAAATGCAAAGTAATGATATTTTTTTTAATACAGAGTGCAAGCAATACCCACCTTAATAAAAGATGCATTTTAATATAAGTGACCCTGGTGAGATACCTGTAATATGCCATACTTATTTCCTACCTAAAACCCACCTTTCCTTTCCTCCACCTGCACCCTTGATGTTTCATTATTGTGGTGTGCAGGCACCAGATGGAGCTTGCAGGAACCAGGTGGGCTTTGCAGGCACCAAGTGGGCCAAGGTAGCAAAATCATAGGCCTCCAAAGCCTGTCATGCATAAATGCATTTTTCACTAGGGTCAGAGCAGTTTTCTGTTGTAGGACCCTCAGAGCCCATCTGTAAAACACAGGTGGGTCGATCCATATGATCACAGCCCACACATGAGGGGTTCTTAAGTCAGATAACTAACGATGTACCTAGGTAGTAGGTTTGTACACAGCAACCACCCAGAGAGGTACTACCATCCTACCAAGTGAGTGTAAGAAGGAAGCCTGTAACTGTTTACATGATGGTAGGATTGCTGGTGTCTTTTTTCTGTCTCATAAACATGCAAGATTTTTGGCAATCTTGCTACTTCTACTTACACTTAGATCATACTACACATGCCTGTACAAGCATATATATATATATATATACCCACCCATCTGGGATTTCTTCTTTCTTACTAGCTCTTGTTTTTGTTTATTTCCTCTTATCTAAATGGGGAAGTGGAACAGAATTCTTCCTCCGTAAACCATGCATGTTGTAAGAGACGACTAACATACCGGGAGCAAGGGGCTAGCAACCCCTTCTCCTGTATACATTACTAAAGTTAAAAAGAGAGACTTTCATTTTTCTTTTTGGGCCACCCTGCTTCAGTGGGATACTGTTGATGCATTGAAAGAAGAACTAACGATGTCATTAATAGTTTGTAATTTTAACTCAGGTTGAGTTAAAACCCACAACAAAATGCAGTAAGCCATAAAGAATGGCATCCTGCAAAAGGCTAGAAGATCCTGCTATTTATTGCATGCATACACAAACACCAGAACAAGCAACAGAAGGCAAGCACCTGGGTATAATCACATTCATAGGTCCAACCCACAAGCATACGGATTACCTACCAACAACAAGAAACAGAGCTATGGTAGCAAAGCACACTAAATTTTCATAATGTGAGATAGGTCCATCATGGCTGATCATGAATGAATGGTACAAAAAATTTATTAACTTATAAATAAATTTGGCTACAAAGGGTTCAAATATATCAAGGAAGTGTTAATGCTGACCACATATCCCAGCATCAATGTACCTTTGTCATGCAGAGCTTGTGAAACCCTCATATTCTACATATAACTGAGCAGTTAGCCAAAGGGAGAGCAGAAACCAACAGAAACAGCATCAACAAAGAAATAACACCCTAGCTTCATGCAGCAAAGCTCAGGAAAAATGATGATGATAGTCCAGAGAGCCACTAAGAGAATGAGACTCAGTCCAAAGCAAATCATAACAGTCCAGCGGCGCATGAAGTATCATCCCCCACACAGGGGGTCACCCCTGGATGACTTGAGGTGCAATAGTAAGTCCCTGTAGGGTTCATACCCCAAGGGAAAGTACACAAATGCTCACAAGGCTTGTCGCAATACCACAGGAACTAGTCCATGCATATCAACATGCAATACTCATAAGGCTTGCCAAAACCATAAATCCTGTGAGCAGAGGAAACAGAATGGGCATCCTCTGGCAGTAAAGAACATAAATGAACACAAACACTGACTTTATCCATAAAACCACTCTGGTGGTTTAATGGATAAAGGGAAACAGGTAGAAAAAAATGATCCACTGAAGAGAGAGGTGATGCTGGCACTACTAGAGAGTTACCAACTGGAGTCATGCAGAGTGGAAGGCTCTAGTTGGAAATGTGCTACAAACTTCTTACATTCTGCATATCTATATCTTTGTTTTCCTGCACTTCCTAATAGTTCTTAAGTCTGTAATATTTCATTTGCAACCAATGAGGCCTGGTCCAAGACAGGGCAATGGGGAAGATAATCACCAGAACCACCTAACAAATAACAGGTGCCACCACAACAATGGAGTAATGAAGAGTGGAGGTAAAGGAGTATGAACTGAACACAATTTATGGTAAGTCATAGTGAGGCAAAGGAAGATAGCAGAAAATAGGTATGGCATCTTACAACAAGACCTCTCAAGTGTCCTACTGCAGACAACCAATGACCAAAACATTTTTATCCTTGTAATTCCCAAAGCAATGTTACTGAAACCATAATTTAAATATTTACCCACAAAATACATACATGCTTTCTTGCAATGTACTAATCAGTGGAACTCAATTTTCGTCTTTAATTCGTTTCAGGAGTCTGACGAAAACTGAAGCAATATTTCCCATAAGAAATAATGTAAATCCAATTAATCCGTTCAAGACATCCAAAAATATTAACAAAAAATACATTTTATAGAGAATAACTATAGTTTTAAATACAGAAAGCAATGAGAAATAAATATAAAGCACTAATGAAATGGATAAATGAACATGTAAATCACTAGCTACTCTTACTGAAGACACTTGTTGGCGAATGGAAGACGGCGAGGAGGGGAGAGGAGGAGAGGTTTACCACCATCACTACCACCCTCTACCACCATCACAACCACTACCAACCTCTACCACTATCACAACCACTACCACTCTCTACCACCATCACAACCACCACCACTCTCTACCACCATCACTAACCCTCTACCACCACTGAATTCTATCATGTTTCTTGCTTTCTTTATGAAAGGGCTGGCACTCAGAACTGTCTTTGACCCCATGGTGGCTTATTTAGCAGTGGCACTCAATAAACAAGCACAAAAAACAATGGATTATTACGAAATGTTTCATATGAATACACAGGGTAATGTTCACTCAACGAGAAACAAAGCCAGACTGACTCAGAGTGCGTGAGTGGGATGGTGCGGGCAGACGGACACGTTCTGTACGGTGGACGAAAACTGAGGTGATGAACAAAAACTGGGACAATATTTTGATGGAAAAAAAGTCGTTGAAAACCGAATTTGGCAAAAACCTGGGCAAACGGAAACCAAGGTTCCACTGTATTAGAATAAAGGCAAATAATGTGAATAATTCACTGCAAAAAAAAAAAATTTAACTTTAATTATAAACTTCATACAATACAAGCATCACACATATTACTTGTGCACTTTACACACACTATTATGTATGAATCAATAGAACACCCTTATATACTTAACCTTTACACTGTCATGACCCAATTTGTCACTGTCATAACAAATTAAAAAAGACATTATCTTCTAAAATGATAAGACAATTTTTCTAAAGGTAATGATATAAAAAATGCAAAAGTTGACGTACAACTTACAAATTTATATGGTTGTGAAGCTGAAGGTTGAAGAGCACTTTGCTCAACTGTGATTTCTGCCCACCCTGAGGCCTATTTTAGGGAAATTCCACTGCTCAAACCATCCCAAATCCTAGCCAGCTATATTGCTAGTATACCTTATGGTCTATCATCTGAGAACAAGAAAGTACTATCCAATGAAAGGCCAGAATTTGTTAATTTGGCCAGTTTTACACAAAATTCAACAAATTTCAATTTAAAAATAGTGCAAAATAAACAATGGAGGCATTTCAGTCACTAAACCAAACCTCTGTTCATTAATTACATCCCCAGGCCTCTCCTATATAACACATGCCCTCTAATTTGAATCCAACAACATAAAAGAAAACTGAAATTTTGCCCTGTTTCTTGGCTAATAAAATATAGCCAAGAATCATTGGTCATGGTGGAGGCTACCCCAATAACTGAAGCAGATCTACTAAAAACCCATAAGACAGACTAGGGGAAGGAAGTAAGGGGTGCCCCTACTCTTCAAGAAAACTGAAGCCTATTTCAGGTCATTTTGAAGCCTATATCAGGCCACTTTCGGCCTGAAACTGACCAAAATCGTCTCCATTTCCCTAACAAATAACACCTAGAAACAGGCAATAAAACTATGAAAATTAGCCTAGAAAATGCCTCAAAATTGGTACTTTAACCATAAACAAGGTCAGAGGTTAACTGTTCCTATCATGAACTGCACATCCACTGCACAGACCCATTCTTTCATGTCTAGGCCAAAAACTATGACTCATAGCACATTTCAGAGTGCTGCAATTAAGACATTAAATACATAAGCAAGACTGACTTCAAAAACATATATATACATGGGAGACAGAAAAGGTTAAGCAAGCCTACCTAGCACCAAGATTCTAACCTCTATTGGACTTGACATAAAATTGAGTATCATATCATTTTGTCCACCTAGTATTTAACAAAAAAGTGAACAGCATTACTGCTTAGAAACCACTAAGGATAGGTGGATGCTGCAGTTAAGAATGTGATTTGAATATGTAATTGTAAATGTGTTTCCTCCTGTGGGTTACCCTACTTTTTAACCAATCAAACACAGAGTTAAATTGGAACTGCCATAGTGAAAAGCTCTGTTCCACAAGGGACAGTACTCGCCCCCATCCTGTTCCTCATATCAGACATATACAGAGATGTAAAACCATAGCACCATGTCATCCTTTGCAGATGATACTAGGATCTGCCTGAGACTGTCCTCCAGTGAGGACACTGTTAACTTCCAAGAAGATATAAACCAAGTTTTCCAATGGACAACAGAAAACAATATGATGTTCAATGAAGACAAATTCCAACTACTCCATTATGGAAAACTGGAGGAGATAATAACTAGAACTGAGTATACTACAAACAAATCATACAACAGAGCAGCTGTATAGCCCTTGTGGCTTAGCGCTTCTTTTTGATTAAAATAATAATAATAATACAACAGAGCAAAAAAGTAATGTGAAGGACCTGGGAGTGGTAATGTCTAAGGGTCTCATTTTCAAAGATCACAACAGTGCCACTATCACATCTGCGAAGAAAATGATAGGATGGATAATGAGAGCG